TGGCAGAGGAGTGCAGGATATCCATGTGACTGTGGGGAGGAGAGAAAGATGCTGAGCTTGTTCCTGAACTGAACCCGTTGAAGAATGCATTCAGTTCTGGCTCTGTGCAGAATTCCATCTGTCTGATTATCCTTTTGCTTGAAGCCTGTGATCTCCTTCATCCTTGACCACATATCTCTGATATCTGCTGGAGCTTGTTTTCCAGGCTTTTTTGATACAATATCCAGATTCTTGTTAATCTTCTGGTACATAAGCTTTGAAACTGAACTCTGAATAATCTCTCTTAAATGCAGATATAAGACACTTAAAATCATGTATTTCTAAAATTACATCATTGGCAAATACACATTTTTTATTGAATAATTATTGGATCTCTAAAAACAGGCATACAATGTGCTTTTTCAGTGCCGTCAATCTACTGTAAACGGATGCTTTCTGCCTGTGAGTAGTAATGTCTGAGCCTATTAGATTCAAAAGGAATCCAATACAGAAGCAGATGTCCATATAAAAATCAATCTTGAGCCACAATAACCATAAACAGACTTCTCACAGACACATTATCTGCAGCAATTCTGCAGATGACCATACACTCCACAACACTTCATTAAAATCATCCACACACTGCCATCTATGGGATGGCTTTCTCCCATGGGAGCCATTTGTATATCCACATTCAGCAATACATCTGCTCACCTTGACATCATGGAGAGAAATATATCAGGAGCTGCAACAATTATTACAGTTCTTTAAACAAGCAGGCAGAGGATTTTTCTTTTAATTCATAAATATGTTGGTATGTATGCACTCTGTCACACATGTTGAGTAACAGTTGCTTAGCATTCTGCATCACAGTGAAGCACTGAAAGGCATCTGCATCCATACGGAGACTTTGATAAAGGCAGCGCTCCCCCAGTCTCCGGCTTAAGGCCTCCCTGGTGGATTATGTTACCCAACAATGGCACTGGCCTTTTGCAGTAGGAGCATGCTCCAGTTGCTGAAAGGCATACAAATATGTCTCCCTTTCCTTTTCCCTACTTCTCCCCTCAGATTTAACAGTGTCCCTTGACAAAAAGCATGTTGACGATACTTCTTGATATTAGCAAATAAAATGCCCTATTTATTGCCATAAAGGAGGAGAAAATGATTAAAGAATATTATATATATCTAAATATATATATTTTTTTGAAAAAATTTAAAATATCTTTGTTAATTCTGACATATTCTTAACATGAGAAGTTATTCCTGTTAAGTAAGTAACTTAGTGTAAATAATTACATTATAAAAAAAATATTGAGGCAAAAATCTTGCATTCTATACCATATTGATTCCACAAGACTGCATACTTTATCGTGTTTTAACAGGAAAATTATCATTACACAACACCCTTTTACTTTATTGTGTGTATTAAAGGAAGATTGTTGATAGCAGGAGAAATAGATTTGTTCATTTACACAAGACCTTACCTTGGGTAATTTAAAAATCTCAGACTTCATTTTATATTTGAAAGTTAGAGCGTAAATCTCAGTGTTTGACTTCCTACAAAAACACTTAAAGCTTAAGTGTCTTCTATTCTAGAATAATTATAAAAGAGAAGAAAAAAAAAGTTTGGAAATTAAATTGGTATGCTGACAGCTCTTGCTCTGCTACTCTAAGAAGCAAAAGTGCTCTAGACAGTACGAAATTTTAAATTAGAGAACTGATCCAGGAGCACCTAAAGAAAACATTTTCATCCAAAACTAAGTTTTCTTATCATGAGATTGAAGTCTTGGAAAAAAAGAAAATGTCCTTTTCTGTAAAGCAGGTGACAGAGATGGAGCAAGATGTAGTGGGACCTGACAAGGCCCAGCTCTGCAACAGTGCGGCGTAATTAAAACTTGGCAAAGGAAAAAGAACACGAGCAGGATTTACAGCACGTCGGAGAACACGGTAACGGCTGACTCATCATTGCTGTCATCAAGAAGCATCATTACGACACAGCCGATACTTTTGGCCTTCATTAATAAAACCTTTGGGGGGGACAAGTCATGAGTAACAGTTCTATCATCATAGTGATTTGCAGAATCTTCTTGTATGAAAATCCTGAGGTGTTAGAAAAGGGGGGGGGGGTAGTTGTGGTTATATACATCTATATATCTATTATATATATAAAAAAAATATTTTTATCTGTGTAGTAGTTTTAATTTCAGAGTTCGGTGGAATCAAGGTCAGTCTGTCATTAAGATGCTCAAATAGCTGATTAAGAAGGCCAATTGTGTTTTAGGGTTAGGGTTATGGTTTTGCAAAGAATACAACTACAGGAGATCCTGCCTGTCTCCATCTATTAACATCATCCTTATCTTTATCTGTAGAGCGCTTTAAAACAGCTACAGCTGAAAACAAAGTGCTGAACATGGCTAAAAAGTAATAAAAAACAATAAACTTATAAAATACAGCATAAAAATATAAAAGACAGCAATATAAGAAAGCTAAATAAACAACGTCACAACAACCAAGTCCTACCAGTGTTGAAAGCCAGTGAATATAAGCATGTCTTGAGCCGTGTTTTAAAATTCGGCACAGAGTACATGTCAGATTAAATAAAACTACTTCAGCGATAGTTTCAAGGTGTTACTTTATTGTATGTCTCGTATCATGCTTGTTGGTTGTGCTGTTCTTTTTACATTTCTTTGCAGGTGATGAAGCAGACTGAAAATGTTTTATCATTATCTCCCTTCTATCTCCTCTTTCCTCAATTTGTTTCTGTTTTTCCTGTTTTGTTCTACTTACTTTGCAGTGTCCATATAATCTGTAAATCTCCCTGCATAATTATAATAAAGCAATTTATATGCATTTAACAAGCGGAACACTATGGCAATAGCCCTACTGCTCCACTTGTGAAAGTAAAATCTGTTGGGCTCCTTTTGGCATCAAGACAATTATTCTTATTGCCACATTGCCAGACAGGACTCTGTAAGAAAAAAAAATAAAGAAATAAACATTCGACAGGGAAGGAGCCTCCCTAATGTGCATTGGGAGGCTATTCCATAAATGAGGAGCAATGATAGACAAGGCTGTCGCCCCCCTGAGCTTCCTCAAAACAACAGCAGGCCTAATAGATGCAACAACTTTTTATTTACCTTCAGGATCAAAAAGTATTTCTGAATGGAATTCAACCAATTTTATAAGCATATAAAAAAGGTAACTACTATTTTAAACCACTCAATTCAAGTAATAAAATATCTAAACAAACATCAGAGAAACTTGTAAACGGTTAAAACAAATGCGTGGTAAATATCCTTCTGATACGTCTTTGACCAAGTAAAAATGAAAGAAAATCTGCATAAAAATAACATATATTCACATATAAGCAGTCTAATAGTGTTTTCAAAGCCTGCTGATAATGTACAATACCTTTACTGGGCCTTAAAAGGGACTGTTCAAGATATTTATCAAAAGATCATAATAGCCAAACTCAGGAGCAGATGAAATCCTGGCCTCAATAACAAGAAAATCCAAAGGGTTACAGTCCAATAAGATGGATTTTTCTAATTTAACAATTAAATGAATATGTAAAAGTATGAACTGTGTAGCAAGAGCGTTTGATTAAGAGTTAAGCATGAAAACTAACATTTGACAGGGAAAAAGCAAAACTTCTGTTTCCAAGGTACAATAAAACCCCTACAGTCAAAGAAACAGTAGATAGTCCCTCGTGTGTGGGGGAGGTTGCTGTGGCCTTGTGAATAATAAGGAAAGTGTGCACATTTGGTCTTTTCAGAAGTTTCACCGCCAGCAGTAGAAGATCAACAGATTGCAGGATTGGACTGCTGCATAGTTGAGATAAGAAAGCAGAAAAATGTCTGCCTGCTTTTGGTATAGAGAAGTAAAATGAACGATAACACAAGTATGAAAAGCAATTCAGTTCAGCTACACAGCTTTAAATGCCCCCCCTCCTTTTATTCAAGCCTCACCTTTCATTTAGTTGATTAATTAGGGCTTTGGCATTTTTCTTTGACCTCTTATTCCCAATATCTTTGGATCCCAGCCTCCTTTACTGCATAAGCCTGGCTCTGCACCTCAGTACAAACACTATTGCCTAATTACTGGGTATATCCTAATAGAATAATTTCCATCTTCAATAGCAGACAAACAGTACAACTTTATTTTCCTAGACAAACCAGTCAAGCGTTTATATCAGACAAGTGATCCATTGAAATCGCAGCTGGATTCAGTCTGGAGAGTAATTTGCAGATGCAATGTTGTTAATTTATACTTGCTGAATTGCACTGGTAATACTACTTGAGGCAGTGTTTTAATGATTGTAATCACAAATGCTCAGAGACAAATAAAAACTACATTTGAAGGAAAATGGTTGACAAAGAGGCTCAATGAGTTGGACATGGATACACAAATGATGAATATAGTCTAGATTAAAAAGGGGGGGGGGGGGCAGAATGTCTCAGGAATGAGGATATAATCAGTTTTACATAAAATAAAGAAAAACTGAAGGTGTAGTTGGATTACACTGCATAAATCAGAAGCGTCCAACAAGTGATGGATGATCTGATTCAATACGTGTTGAGGGTTGCAGGAAAACAGGATTTCTGCAGCACGTCCTGATATTTAAATGCCAGATACGCAACGGCAGACGCAGCTCTGCCGTCAAAGCGCACGGATGGGGGTGATTGGGTATTCTACAACTGCCTAATTATCACTTAGATGGAGAGAGTAGAAACAGCTGCCAGTGTGCTAGTTAACATAAAGCTGTTTACCAAGTTTGTCTGGTGAAAAATAACATTATAATTTTTTTTTTCAAATTCCCAGAATAAGGAGAAAGTTGTGCGCATCTAACAAATCTCTATGCCAAAATAGGAAAATATTGCCGTGTTTATTACCCTCTGATGTCCATCTGTTCAGAAGTGCATGCTTTATAAAAGAGATTATCACTTTATTTGCAGATAAACAAATTCTCTCTGCAGAATGCATGAAGCGGAAGGGGAGCAATATGCTGATTCGCTGCCTACCTGCTCTGACCGGAGTCCGTCAGAAAGCCCCACAGAGAGTAATCCTGTGATTTCCGCCGAAAACTGCTTGTTTCCTTTAAAAAGATCTGAAGTCGCGATTGATCACAGCACGTCACTGGCACTGTAAGGTCCCAGAGACCGTAGTATCTCCCTGTGCCGCTCCGTCTGTGAGCTGCAGAGGCATCAGTGAACGTATGAAGCAGCGCTTCACATGAAGGGAGGGAAGCAAAGTCCGGAATGGAGACTATTGAAGAGTGGATTCTTCTTCCATGTTCCACCTGTAGTTAACAGTGACAGTCCCTGTGGCACAAAATGTTCAAGCAGGATAACTGAGAATTACAATCTATTGTTTCTTATAATTATAAAATTTCAAAGCATTTCAGTTCATATTAAACAGTTTATTTTCTAGGCTCCATAGTTGAATAATTTAACTGCAGGTGCAAAATAAAGTAGACAAATATTTAGATAATGAATAGTTCACTGTTCTTTTTTAATTGCTTGTCTGACAGATAGTATAACACATAATCTATTTAATGTTAGATTCCATCTTTGTAAACTCTTTTTTGACTAATAAAAAGAATCGTCAGTAATTTATAAATTTGTTGTTTTATTTCATTTTTGGTTCATTTGAATTGTCATGTCTAGGAACAAAATGTTGGGATTATTGTCATCTGAGGCGTACAATAGCATGGGAATGATGCATAAAATTCAACGCATCTGAATATACAGTATACAGTACCTTCTTTATTTACAATATTTTGACAAATTATACTTCTGATATTCTAAACATTAATGCCAAAAGAGTTTGTTTACCTACCTTCACTAGCTGATGAATTTAAGTGACAATCCCGTTTTACATATGATGTTGGTCAACTCTATAAAACCTAAGAATCTACCATATGCCCAACTACTGTGCTGTGTATATTTACTTTCTGTCATTACATAAATAGTTTAGGGCTCTTTTAAAGCCTGAAGCCACCAAATGCCTTCATGTCTATATATCTATATATGGTTACTTTAATCTGTAATGTTAGTTATTTTTTATTGTTCCTTAATCATTCATCTTTAAGGTCAGCAGGGTTTAAATCACTCTATAAAACCAACAGAGGATAAATAAACGATCCCATCTGCACTTGCATTTTCATGATAAATAAGTACATCCATCATAGAGAAGATTAGTGTGATGTAAGCCCAAACTCTTTACATTATATTACAGCCTTTGTGGCTCAATTTTTTTTTTAATTTCCTGTTCTAAAAGGGGATTTATCTGTAATTTCAAATATTATTTTCATAATTTCATGCTAATGCAATATATATAGATAGAGGAGAGAGAGAGAGAGAGAGAGAGAGAGAGAGAGAGAGAGAGAGAGAGAGAGAGAGAGAGAGAGAATAGAATAGAAAACCTCTCTACGAAAATAAGATATATATATAAAATAAAACAAATAAATTACTGTACTATATATATATATATATATATATATATATATATATATATATATATATATATATATATATATATATATATATATATATATATATATATATATATATATATATATATATATATATATATGTGCCTTTAATGCAGTAGAATGACTGAAGGCTATCCTGCTGAGAATGACCAGAACCAACAAAGCAACAAAACCAGTGCATTTTTGCTACCTTAGGAAGCCTGGATCTAATAGCAAGGTTGCATGCTTTGATACAATAACCCTGGCAACAGCAGCCCCAACAGTGGGACCATAAGCCTGAATTTGCTGAAGGCTAATTGGACGATCTGTTATCAAAGGCTTTGAATGATTAGAAATTAATCACATTACCCATGTAGAATCCAAGCAATGTCAGGGTTTCAGGCATGACCCTGCATAAGAAAACATTAGCACTTTGCCATTATTGGATCTATTCACCATTGCTCTAAGCTCTCCCATCAGAATGCTCTTAACACTTTATTGGTGGCGGTCAATCAGGATTCCCTGGAAGTGCAATGGAATCAATATTTCCGTGATGATACAGCAAACAACATACAGAGAGAGAAAATACAACTCAGGTGATATTGAGAGGCAGCACTTGCTTTGTATGCAAATCACATTAATTACTTGTGTTGGTACTGGAGTGTTAAGAATTAACTAATTTAAAATGAGTCATGTAATTTACTACGGATACATGTTTGCTACCATTTTGCTTGCTTTGAAGTTAATTGTTAGTGTAAAGCATTAATCCTGATGTTTCCAAATATAAGAAGAAATCCTGTGTTTTAAAGTAAATCACCAGGGCCCAAACAAAAGGAGAATGAACTGAACTTGTTTTATCTTTAGTCCATGCACATTGGGCAGCATCTATAAATATAATTTTTAAAACTAAATTTTTTTTAAAGGCATTCATTAGTCTTGCTGCAGTACCTCTGATCATTGTCCTGATGAGTAACCCGCATGTACATAAACTTCAAGGTATTGTGGAGGATTTTCGCGAATACTTAAAAGACCTGCCCTCTCCATGCATGCAAGAGCATGCACAAGCCCATTTCTCCTTGTGCACGCTCTGTTTAAAAGTTGCTGTTCTCATAGCTCATACAAGCTTACTGTGTCCGAATGTCTGCCCTAACCCCCAAATTCCTCTATCACTATATAGAGCAAGGACTATGTGGTGGACTTTATATTGAACTCAGTTCGCCGACCGTTCGGACAGATGATCACTGCTTTTTGCTGCGTTGATCAAATAACTCCTCCTCTACTGCGCTGTGCCTGCGCCATAGTCATTGTTGTCGGATAACGGAAGCCTATGGCGACAGCAGGCTGCTGTGACAACAAATCCCATAATGCTTTGCAAGGAGAGCTCTCCGCACAAAGCATTCCAGGATATATCTGCCTCTTCTGAGGCCTTTCATTTGTTCGGATACATTTTTTAGAAACTTTTTCTCTTATGATCCTTAGCCATTTTTAAAGAACTGCAGTGAGAAAGGTGAGTTTCAATGAGTGTCTGAAACCGTAGCACACAACATATACACTTGAAAGTGTGCATGCGCAGGAAAAGATAGCTAACAGGACAAGCACGTATGACCACCTTACGTAAACATTTCACATGAATGATTGACAATTGGGAGGGCCGCTTATTAAGATGAACCACCCGGAAATAAAAGACTGTTCTCTATACCTCTAAGTTAATGGAAACCACAAATTCTTAGATTTTTAGCTGCAAACCGGAATAATGAGCTC